ATTCACATAACAACAATGAAATTAATTTAATTTTGAAATCTTTGCAATTTATATTTAAATCAAATTTTAAAAAAAACACATTTACATAAGTGTATTCCCAGCCTTTTTTTTTATTTTTTCAAAACTCTGTTGAAGTCCCTTTAGTAGCAATTCCAGCCTTGAGTCGTTTTTGAGTATGATGCTACAAGCTTGGCGACACACCTATTTTTGGGCAGTTTCTCCCGTTCTTCTTTGCCGTACCTCTCAAGCTCCATCAGGTTGGAATGGGGAGCGTCGGTGCACGGCCAATTTTACAGATCTTTTCCAGAGATTTTCAACCGGGTTCAATCTGGGCTCTGGCTGGGCCACTCCAGGACATTCACAGAGTGGCCCATAGCCACTCCTTTGTTTGAGCTGTGTGCTTTGGGTTGTTGCCCTGTTGAAAGATTGAACCGTTGCCCCCAGTCCAAGGTCCAGAGCGTTCTGCAACAGGTTTGCAGCAAGGAACATTGCTGCATTCATATTTCCTTCGATCCTGACTAGTCTTCCCAGTTCCTGCTGCTGAAAAATATCACCACAGCATGATGCTCGCCACCACCATGCTTTACTGTAGGGATGGTATTGGCCAGGTGGTGAGAGGTGGCCTGGTTTCCTCCAGACATGACGCTTGGCATTCAGGCCAAAGAGTTGAATCTTTGTTTCATCAGACCAGAGAGTTTTGTTTCTCATGGTCTGAGAGTCCCTCAGGTGCCTTTTGTAAACGCCAGGCGGGCTGCCATTTGCCTTTTACTGAGGAGTGGCTTCCTTCTGGCCGCTCTACCATACAGGCCGGATTGGTGAAGTGCTGCAGAGATGGTTGTTGTTCTGGAAGGTTCCTCTCTCTCCACAGAGAAACTCTGGAGCTCTTTCAGAGTGACCATCGGGTGCTTGGTTGCCACCCTGGCTAAGGCCCTTCTCCCTCGATTGCTCATTTTGGCCGGCGGCCCGCTAGGAAGATTCCTGGTGGTTCCAAACGTCTTCCATTTACGGATGATGGAGGCCACTGTGCTCATTGGGACCTTCAATGCTGCAGAAATTTTGTTTCCCTTTCCCAGATCTGTGCCTTGATACAATCCTGTTTATATTGTAAGAGATCTCCCAGTAAGAGTGAATTATGAATATTCATATCTTTTCCAGCCCATCACTAGGAGTTTCCTTTGCCAGTTGTGAATGATGTGAAAGGGTATAAATATCTAACTGTGAGTAATAAAACCCCTTTTTGTTTATCCAAAAGTAACTGGCACCCATTTGTCTACCTGTTCTACTATGCCTAGGAGACTTATCCCTGAGGTGAAATGTCAGCCCGCCTTGTCTTTGTGGGTACTGTTATGCCTCCAGCTGAGTCCCTAGGAGCAGGAGGAGTTTGTTGTCAAAAAGAGGAATTGCAGATGTGTCTGGCTTCTGATGGGTGCTTTCCAATCATATCATCATTGCCAAAGAATAAAGAAAAAATTAAATGAAAAAATCCAAATTATTCTAAAAATAAACAAAAAAAGCGATGGGGGCTGTGAATTTCCCTCTCTTCAGCCACCCAGGGAGGAACTTTTTATTAGGTTATAAAGGAGGTGCTGAGCGCAAAGAGCTTAGCCAATTAATTATAAAATGAAAATAAATAAATAAATCTGAAAATAAAAAACATAAAAACTAACAAGCAAAAGCAAATTAAAAAAATTGACCATGGTGAATTGACCATTTTACCTTTGTATCAGGGACCTAATAGGGAGGCTACCCAGTAGTGGTTCCTCACTTTGATTACCCAAATCCTGGGATCCTTTATGCATAAAAGACCCCATTTGCTAACACTTGCCTGATGTTGAAGACAAAGAGTTGCCCTCCCATTTCACCCCAAATACAATTCCTGTGGATTGGGAGGGGCAAAATAAAGCCTGCCCCATTTTCTCCTCCTCCTCAATGTCAACGCCACATTCTTCCTCCTTGAATTCCTCCTCTGCCTCTTGCTATCTCATTGCATTCAACATGCTGGTGGAAGGCAGAGATTGGCTTCTGGGCACAATGATGGCGGCTGTGGGATGGAAGTCCCTGGCGGTGACCCCCTTGAGGATCTGGAATGACTGTAGGGACTGCCAGGTACCCCCAAATGGCTTTGTTATATAAACCTTGTCTCTGTGCCTTTGGCACCCTTATCAGGAATTCCGGTGGGTATGGAAACTCGTACCCATACTGTGATTTCAATATTTCATTGAAGTACGACCACAGATTAAGGAAAATGTATTATCTTCCTTCTATGAGCTCCTCCAGGTGGCTAGGTAAAAGTCTGGAGCCCTACGGAAATTTTCTCCATTTGTAGACAGTCTGTCTTACCATGGACACATGAACATCAAGGCTTTTGGAGATACTTTTGTAACCCTTTCCAGCTTCATGCAAGTCAACAATTCTTGATCGTAGGTCTTCTGAGAGCTCTTTTCTGCGAGGCATGATTCACATCAGACACTGCTTCTTGAAACCAGTAAACCCAAAACAGGTGTGTGTTTTTTAAGGGCCGGACAGCTGTCAGCAACACATCCAATATCATCACACTGATTGGAGTCAAGGTTGGCTCACTTCTGGCTCCAATTAGCTCTGGGAGAAGTCATTAAGCTAGGGCCTCACATACTTTTTCCACCCTGGACTGTGAATGTTTACATGTTATGTGCAATTAAACCATGGCAACATCTAATGTTTGTGTAGTATTATATTCAGCAGACTGTCTTCTTCTATTGTTGTGACTTAGATGACGTTCAGAGCAAATTTTATGCCCAATTCATGGAAAATTCCACGTAATCCCAAGGGGTTCACATACTTTTTCTTGCAACTGTAGCTAATATAGCTACTAAGGAAGCCCAGTCGGAGGGCGCAACATTTCTAGGGAGCAGAAGCCGAGCCTGTAATGTCACATTGCTGCCATCCTGAACATAGAGTGGTGAGCAGGTTGATGACAGATCTTAATCCAAATTAAAAGGTATGCGCTAATAACAAACTTATACAAAAGTGTATATCATCATCCAAAAAACATTAGTGTTTTAAATAAATTATAGTGTCCAAACATAAATTAGTGTCCAAAAAAATATATATATCTTCAGTGACTTGAACCAATTGTGAGAAATCCACCACCAAAGGAGATTAAATAAACTCACCAGAGCTAATGGCTGGTCAGATTATAAACCAGCAACAGCGCTTGTGCTCTGGGAGCAATGAACCCGATGTCCAAAAAGATATGGTGATGTTTCAGATACTTCCAGATAATAATCACAGCCAAACAACTTTGCAGCCCAAGCTCTTATGATGAACTTCTCCACTCTTTCTCATACCTCCATGAGAGCATGCAGTACACTCAGGGACAAAAAAGAGAACATAATGGTGCAATACGTTTTTTTCATTTATCTCTTTAATAAAAAAAGGTATAAGGAAACTCACAAACAAGGTGTCCAACAGACACCAGCTTCAATCGCAAAAAAGGGTTGAGATATAGTTAACGCTCACCGCAGATCTCTCCCATACAGCACAGACCAGCAAGGCTCTCTAACGTCCACATCAATTAGGCTACACCAACCTTAATTTGGTATTGATGACAGATCTTAACAAAGAGCAGTTTATTGGTAATTTCTGTAAGTGTATTTTATCTGCTTGAATACATTTTATAAATGGAGAGCAATATGTTTTGACCTTTCTATTACATGTGATCTATATTGAATTGAGAAGGTTACACTACACTAATTATGCACTAATAATTTTGTAGAACTAACCACAAATCTTCTGTGGATGTAGGCTGCTTCAAATCCTTCTGTCTATTCGTGTAAATCCAGACAGACTTGACGATGTTGAGACCAGGGCTCTGTTTGGGCTATCCCTTTCAGCACTCCTTGTTCTTCTTTGTACTGAAGGTGGTTCTTAATGACATTGGCTGTATGTTTGGGATCATTGTCCTGCTGCAGACTAAAATCTGCACACACCTCCCTGATGAAGGGATGCATGATGGATAAGTATCTCCCTGTATTTCTCAGTATTAGGGACACCATTGATTCTGGCCAAATCTCCAACTCTATTTGCAAAAATGCAGCCCCAATCTTGCAAGGAACCTCCACCATGATTCATTGTTGCCTGCAGGCACTGATTATTGTACTGATCTCCAGCCCTTCCACAAACAAATTGCCCCCTGCTACAGCCAAATATTTCACATTTTGACTCATCAGTCTAGAGCACCCACTGCCATTTTTTTCTGCACCCCATTCCTATATTTTCATGCATAGCTGAGTCGCTTAGCCTTGTTTCCTTGTAGAAGATATGGGCTTTTTGGTCACATTTCTTACATGAAGACCTCTTCTGTCCAGACTTCTCTGGACAGTAGATGGGTATATCTGTGTCAGGAATGGACTTGCCAGTAATGGTGGGACCCACCTGCCTTGTGGGCTGCAGTACCAGGGCTGGCCAGCGGGTGCTCCCGGAAATCAGAGACTCAACCCTGCAGCCAGCCAAACACCTGAAGTTGATCATGTAGGTGTATTTAAGGGATGGCCAGACCTGCAGTCTCTGCCTTGGTGTGTGTTTTTCCTGGGCCCTGTATCTTGTTCCTGCGTTCCTGTTCCTGTCCCTGTCTGATTCGTTGCTGACCCTGCCTGATCCGGACCTCTGCTGACTTCTCCTGTTTTATCCCCTGGCTTGTGACCCCGACCATTCTCTGCCTGACCCCCTGTACCTACCTGCCCGATTGTTATTGACCCGCCTGCCTGACGACGCTTGAATTGTATATATTGTTATCTGTGGGTGGTTTGGTTTGTTTGCACTGTGTTATGTTTTAGTATTGCACTGCGTTTATGTTTGTATTGTTAGTCTTTAATAAATTATATCATTTATAACATATCTCTGAAGCCTGTGTTTCCCTGCGTCAGTCACATACCTCTGGCCGCACCCCGGAGCCCTGACATTACACCAAGGCCTATCCTGACCAGAAGTGGCTGCACAGGGAAGCCATCTTGGCTTGTTGCTGGGAAGGATGGATCTTGATAAGGTTGTGTATTTATCTCTGCTAGTGTTTGATAACAGAGAATATGCTTATCAGACTCTGAAGGAGTATCCCCGGGATGAACTGCTAGAATGTATACGGCTCGCTCATGTTCTAGTAGATCAGGGCACAGAATTCTCTGAGGTGCAGCCATTGATTCAGGTTTGTGCAGAGTTGGTTTCATCTGGTACCCCCGAATGCAGGGATGAATTTTTGCCGCCATTTAGTGCCGACCAGGTAGAGTCCCTGGTATGGTTATTAGAGGATGATGTGGGTTACTTTCTGGAGCGTTATTCTGCATGTTCACAACAGGTACTAAGAGATTGTATAAACGCAGTGCAGTCATTGGTCAGACAGGCTTTGTGTAAGCTCAGCTTTGTTCAACCCATACTGCAGACATGGACAGACTTGTTGCACCCAGCCTCAGTCAGCTTACAACATCATTCCTCCACTCAAGGCACTCTTCCTGCATCCCCGACAGCACCCCCAGTGACTGCCCAGTATACTCTAACTACCACATACCAGTCCTCTGCTCCCACTCGCTGCACCTATCCTTTCTTTAACCCTGTAAAGAAGTCCTCTGTAGCAACAGCTCCCTCCTCTGTTCCATCCTCCAGTTCTTCTCTGTCTCCAGCTGCTCCATTCGTTTGCAGACCTGCATTTACTTGCAGTGCTCCAGTAGTTAAAACCAGAAAAAAGCGGAAATTCTTTCCAACCAATACCATCCTGCCAGTATCCAAACCGGTGAGCCTGCCGTCTGAGAACCTGATTTCCGTGGTTCAGCCTGGTGCCTCGGCACCCGCACTTCAGCCTGATGTCCGTACCCAGCCTGATGAACTGATCCAGCCTGATGATCCTATCACGCCTGATGACCCAGTGCCCGCTGTCGAGCCAGACGATCCGGTACCTGATGACCCGGTGCCCACTGTCATGCCTGGTGACCCGATGCCCGCTGTCGTGCCAGACGATCCAATGCCTGATGACCCAGTGCCCGCGGTCATACCTGGTGACCCGATGCCCGCTGTCGAGCCAGACGATCCAATGCCTGATGACCCAGTGCCCGCTGTTATGCCTGGTGACCCGATGCCCGCTGTCGAGCCAGACGATCCAATGTCTGACCCAGTGCCCGCGGTCATGCCTGGTGACTCGGAGCCCACTGTCATACCTGGTGACCCGATGCCCTCTTTGAGCCAGACAATCCAATGCCTGATGACCCAGTGCCCGCTGTCATGCCTGGTGACCCGATGCCCGCTGTCGAGCCAGACAATCCAATGCCTGATGACCCAGTGCCCGCGGTCATGCCTGGTGACCCGATGCCCGCTGTCGAGCCAGACGATCCTGCGCCAGATGACGTCTGAGAACCTGATTTCCGTGGTTCAGCCTGGTGCCTCGGCACCCGCACTTCAGCCTGATGTCCGTACCCAGCCTGATGAACTGATCCAGCCTGATGATCCTATCACGCCTGATGACCCAGTGCCTGCTGTCGAGCCAGACGATCCGGTACCTGATGACCCGGTGCCCGCTGTCGAGCCAAATGACCTGATGCCTGGTGACCCGATGCCCGCTGTCCAGCCAGACGATCCAATGCCTGATGACCCAGTGCCCGCGGTCATGCCTGGTGACCCGATGCCCGCTGTCGAGCCAGACGATCCAGCGCCAGATGACCCGGTGCCTGCTGTCGAGCCAGATGATCCGGTACCTGATGACCCGGTGCCCGCTGTCGTTTCAATTGACTCAGAGCCCACTGTCGTGCCTGGTGACTCGGTGCCCGCTGTCATGCCTGGTGACCCGATGCCGCTGTCGAGCCAGACGATCCAATGCCTGATGACCCAGTGCCCGCGGTCATGCCTGGTGACCCGATGCCCGCTGTCGAGCCAGACGATCCAGCGCCAGATGACTCGGTGCTTTCTGTCGAGCCAGACGATCCGGTACCTGATGACCCGGTGCCCGCTGTCGTTTCAATTGACTCAGAGCCCACGTCGTGCCTGGTGACTCGGTGCCCGCTGTCATGCCTGGTGACCCGATGCCCGCTGTCGAGCCAGACGATCCAATGCCTGATGACCCAGTGCCCGCGGTCATGCCTGGTGACCCGATGCCCGCTGTCGAGCCAGACGATCCAGCGCCAGGTGACTCGATGCTTTCTGTCGAACCAGACGATCCGGTACCTGATGACCCGGTGCCCGCTGTCGTGCCAATTGACTCAGAGCCCACTGTCGTGCCTGGTGACTCGGTGCCCATTGCCTTGCTAGATGACGCGGTGCCCGCTGTCAAGCCAAATGACCTGATGCCTGGTGACCCGATGCCCGTTGTCGTGCTTGATGACCCGGTGCCCGCCGCTCCTCCTGGGGGCCCGGTGTCTGCCGCCCTGCCTGGGGGCCCAGTGCCTGTCGCCCCGCCTGGGGGCCCGATGCCTGTCGCCCCGCCTGGGGACCCGATGCCTGTCGCCCCGCCTGGGGGCCCGATGCCTGTCGCCCCGCCTGGGGGCCCGATGCCTGTCACCCCTCCTGGGGGCCCGGTGCCCGCCGCTCCGCCTGGGGGCCCGGCGCCCGTCACCCCTCCTGGGGGCCCGGCGCCCGTCGCCCCTCCTCGGGGCCCGGTGTCTGCCGCTCCGCCTGGGGGCCCGGCGCCCGCCGCCCCTCCTGGGGGCCCGGTGCCGGTCGCCCCTCCTGGGGGCCCGGCGCCCGTCGCCCCCCCTGGGGGCCTGGTGCCCGTCACCCCTCCTGGGGGCCCAGTGCCCGCCGCTCCGCCTGGGGGCCCGGCGCCCGCCGCCCCGCCTGGGGGCCCGGTGCCTGTCACCCCGCCTGGGGGCCGGTGCCTGTTTCCCCTCCAGGGGGCCCTGTGCCCGCCGCTCCGCCTGTGGGCCCGGTGCCCATCGCCCCTCCTGGGGGCCCAGTGCCCGCCGCTCCGCCTGGGGGCCCGGCGCCCGCCGCCCCGCCTGGGGGCCCGGTGCCTGTCACCCCGCCTGGGGGCCGGTGCCTGTTTCCCCTCCAGGGGGCCCTGTGCCCGCCGCTCCGCCTGGGGGCCCGGTGCCCGCCGCTCCGCCTGGGGGCCCGGCGCCCGCCACTCCGCCTGGGGGCCCGGCGCCGGCCACTCCGCCTGGGGGCCCGGCGCCCGCCGCCCCTCCTAGGGGCCCGGCGCCCGCCGCTCCGCCTGGGGGACCGGCGCCCGCCGCTCCGCCTGGGGGCCCAATGCCTATCGCCCCTCCTGGGGGCCCAGCGCCCGCTGCTCCGCCTGGTGGCCCGGTGCTTGCTGCTCCCCCTGGTGATCCGGTGTCCAGCTCGATGTGCCTCTGCCCGGAGTCCAGCTCGATGTGCCTCTGCCCGGTGTGCCTCTGCCCGGAGTCCTGCCCTGTGTGCCGCTGCCCGGAGTCCAGCCCGATGTGCCGCTGCCCGGAGTCCTGCCCGATGTGCCAGTCTTTGATATCCCGCCAGTTACCAGACCCGGGCGGTGGAACATTTTGCCCAGCTAGGACTGTTTGGAGCGTCCTGAGGCCGCTCCTTGAGGGGGGGGGTACTGTCAGGAATGGACTTGCCAGTAATGGTGGGACCCACCTGCCTTGTGGGCTGCAGTACCAGGGCTGGCCAGCGGTGCTCCCGGCAATCAGAGACTCAACCCTGCAGCCAGCCAAACACCTGAAGTTGATCATGCAGGTGTATTTAAGGGATAGCCAGACCTGCAGTCTCTGCCTTGGTGTGTGTTTTTCCTGGGCCCTGTATCTTGTTCCTGCATTCCTGTTCCTGTTTCTGTTCCTGTCCCTGTCTCTGTCTGATTCGTTGCTGACCCTGCCTGATCCGGACCTCTGCTGACTTCTCCTGTTTTATCCCTGGCTTGTGACCCCGACCATTCTCTGCCTGACCCCCTGTACCTACCTGCCCGATTGTTATTGACCCGGCCTGCCTGACGACGCTTGCATTGTATGTACTGTTATCTGTGGGTGGTTTGGTTTGGTTTGTTTGCACTGTGTTATGTTTTAGTATTGCACTGCGTTTATGTTTGTATTGTTAGTCTTTAATAAATTATATTGTTTATAACGTATCTGAAGCCTGCGTTTCCCTGCGTCAGTCACATACCTCTGGTCACACCCCGGAGCCCTGACAATCTGTGTCCCACTAGTTTCCACCAGTTCTGTGATGATGGCGCTGCTGGGCATCTTTCGATGTGGAAGAGAAGTAAGCATTTATTTATTTATTTCAGGTACTTATATAGCGCTGTCAATTTACGCAGCGCTTTACACACACACATATATATATATATATATACAGTATATATATATATATATATTGAACATTCACATAAGTCCCTAACCCTCAAGGGGCATACAATCTAAGGTCCCTAACTCACATTCATACAAGCATGATGTGTCTTTCATCTGCTACATTTTTTTCCTTGGTCATCCACTGTGTCTACATACCTCAACGTTGCCCATTTCTTTGTGCTTCTTTAAATGAGCTTGAACAGTACATCTGGCCACTTTGAAATCTTTGCCTGGGAGACACCTTGCTGAAGCAGTATAACTACGCTGTGTTTTGTTGCTGTGCGTAGTCTTGCTATAGTGTATTACCTGTGACATGAAACTTCTACCACAATCCCACCTTAGCAGCAGAGTTTGGCTGTTCCTCACCAGGTTTAAGCCTAGTACACAGCAGTTTTTGTTTCACCTATTGTTTGTGTTTCAACCTGCCTATGAAATTGATGATCATTAGCATCTGGGTAGTATAATTGATTCATTATACACCTGACTCTAATCCTACAAAATCCTTGGCTTTGTACAAGTGTAAGAACTGATTCTGGTTAGAAGCCAAAGGGCAGTCACACCAAATATTGATTTGATTTAGATTTTTCTTCTGTTCGTTCACTTTGCATTTTATAAATTGCTAAAAATAAACAAAATATATATTTTTGAAAGCATTCTTATTTTACAGCATTTCTTCACACCTTCCTAAAAGTTTTGCATAGTACTGTACATGTACAACTGACTATAAATAAACTTATGTGACAGTGTCACATAGTATAAAATGCGTCATCCTAACAAACCTATACCAATGCAATATATGTTGCATATATCCAAAAAAAACTTGATCAAATAAAGTTCAAAATGTTCATATGAGATTAAATTTCCACACTCTCTTTCTTCGTGAATGTGCTGAAGTGTTTTGTGGTTTCATATACAACTGAATGCTGAGTGCCTGGGAGGAGAAACAATATACTGGAACTAGAAAAGCTACAATTTCTGGGGAAATTGTGTGAAGTGTTCTTGCCTCCACCAGTAGTCTACAACTGGAGTGGGCAGAGTAACTGGGTGGAGTGGCTGGAGTAACTGTTGTGTGGTTGGAGTGGCTGGAGTAACGGTTGTGTGGTTGGAGTGGGCGGAGTAACTGGGTGGAGTGGCTGGAGTAACTGTGAAAAGGATTTGT